GTCTTAAAAATAGGTGAGGCTGGGTGAGGTAGCTCACATCTGTAATCTCAGAATTTTAGGAGGCCAACTTGGGCAGATCACTTGAGCACAGAATTTCAAGACCAGCCTAGACAACAGAGTGAAACCCTGTCACTACTAAAAAATGCAAAAATTAGCTGGGCATGGTGGCATGTGCCTATGGTCCCAGCTATTTTTGAGGCTGAGGTGCGAGGATCACTTGAGCCTGGGAAGTCAAGGCTGCAGTGAGCCATGATCACGCCACTATACTCTACCCTGGGTGAGAGGGAGGCCATCTCAAAAAATAAAAAATAAAATGAGGGGGCCTGAGAACTACTTAGGAATAGTACAAGGAATAAGTAGTACAAAAAATAAATCTTTTGTGCATTGTAAAAAGGAGAAAAAAAGGATGCTAACTGGGAAGAGGCATAGATTGATTACAATTAAAGCCATTAACTGCTCAAATTGGATGCTATGCGACCTCAAAAATGACAATGTACCTCTCTACATGGGGAGAGCAGAGAAAGTATCACAGATCTTTTTTGAGTAGAATTTGGGAGAGGAAGAGTAGGTACCACAATATGAGTAATGTCAAACAGGTTAAAGCTTAGCCAAAGTCAACAAAGGGTAAGACAAGATAGGAGGATAATATTGAAAAGATACAAAGGAGTTAGATCATGAAAGACCTTGGTAGGTAGTTAATGCACTTAGATTGTATCTCAGATATAAATAAGTGAACCCAGATTTTTAAGAAATGATGTGGCATAATTAAGTGAAAGTTCAGAAAAGTAAATTACTCATTCTGGCTGCCATAGAGTAGGGCAACTGGAATAGATTAAAACCAGAGGCAGGGAAAACCATGAGGAGTCCTTTGCAATAATATCGGCAAGAAAAGATGAAGCTTTAAAGCAGAGTACAGGCTGGGTGCTGTGGTTCACGCCTGTAATCACAGCACTTCGGGAGGCCGAGGTGGGTGGATCATTTGAGGTTAGGAATTTGAGACTAGCCTGACCAAAATGGTGAAACCCCATCTCCACTAAAAATACAAAAATTAGGCAGGCATGGTGGTGCACGCCTGTAATCTCAGCTACTCTGGAGGCTGAGGCAAGGGAATTGCTTGAACTCAGGAGGCAGAGGTTGCAGTGTGCCAAGATAGCCCCACTACACTCCAGGCTGGGCAACAAGAGCCAAGCTCTATCTAAAAAAAAAAAAAAGCTGAAGGAGAGAGCATGAGAGTTGGGACAAACTGGATACATTCATAGAAATCTTCAGCAACATCATCATGATGATGATTATTATTCAAGACAGTCTCACTCTGTCACCCAGGCTGGAGTGCAGTGGCACGATCTCGGCTCACTGCAACTTCCACTGCCCGGATTCAAGCAATTCTCCTGCCTCAGCCTCCAGAGTAGCTGAGATTACAGGTGTGCACCACCATGCCCGCCTAATTTTTCTATTTTTAGTGGAGATGGGGTTTCACCATTCTTGCCAGGCTGGTCTCAAACTACTGACCTCGTGATCCGCCCACCTCAGCCTACAGTGTAGCTGAGATTACAAGTGCGAGCCACCAGGCCCAGGTAGTGTTTATCTTAATAATGTTGCTGGCTGGGCACAGTGGCTCATGCCTGTAATCCCAGCACTTTGGGAGGCTGAGGTGTCTCTGGAGTCTCTTTAGACCGGTGAAGCAATGTATTGTCAGTGATACAGAACTAGGAGAAATCTTCAATTTTCTTATTTAGCCATCTGTTCATAATACTGAAAATAATTGACCCGTAAGTATGATATTATTATAAACTACATATTTCCATTTATGCCCAAGGACATTATTTAGAAATCTGATAGTAAGAATAATCTCAAATTTTGGCAAAGGAAATTGTAGTAGGAACTCGACTATGGTTGCCAGCAATGATTGTTATTTGAATATTGTTCTTGAATATCTTGACTAACTCTGGAGGCTGAGGTGGGAGGATTGCTTGAAGCCAGGAGTTCAACAGCAGCCTAGGCAACATAGAGACCTTTCATCTCTAAAATAATAATAATAAACACTCAAAAAAGACAAATATGATCAGCTCCTCTTGAATTCTATTTCTCCACAGTATACACAAGGAACACAACTTTACTGTTAGATCTTCATAAAAAAAGATATAATTATGAAACTATGAATCAAAATAGCCCCTCAATGTGTTTTATTTTCTATTTAAAAGCAATGCATCCATTACAGACTACTTGCAAATACAGAAAAGTAGAAAAATGGAAAAATATATCCATATGTCTACACCCGAAGAAAACTATCATTGATTAACCTAAATATATTACTTTTATTTTTTTCTTCATCCTACTCAAGGTAGATAAATATATTGTTTTTACTTCTTTAAAGTATCTATAATAGAGAGGAGATATAAATTGACTAGATATTTTTATTTATTTTATATATACATATATATTTGTTTGTGTATATATATATGTGTGTGTGTGTGTGTATTTTAAGACGAAGTCTCGCTCTGTCACCCAGGTTGCAGTGCAGCAGCTCAAGCTCAGCTCGTAACCTCTGCCTTCCAGGTTTAAGAGATTCTCCTCTCTCAGCCTCTCAAGTAGCTGGGATTACAGGCACCTGCCACCACGCCAGGCTAATTTTTTTTGTATTTTTATAAGAGATGGGGTTTTGCCATGTAGCCAGGCTGGTCTTGAACTCCTGACCTCAGGTGATCCACCCACTTCAGCCTCCCAAAGTGCTGGAATTACAAGTGTGAGCCACCACACCTGGCCTTAAATATAAATTTTTAAATTTTCATTATTTTATCCCCACACTACAATGTTGTAACTGGGTGTTTTTATAATGAATTTTTTTTTTGAGACTGGAGTTTCGCTCTTGTTACCCAGGCTGGAGTGCAATGGCGCAATCTCGGCTCACTGCAACCTCCGCCTCCTGGGTTTAGGCAATTCTCCTGCCTCAGCCTCCTGAGTAGCTGGGATTACAGGCACGCACCACCATGCCCAGCTAATTTTTTTGTATTTTTAGTAGAGACGGGGTTTCACCATGTTGACCAGGACGGTCTCGATCTCTTGACCTCAGTGATCCACCCGCCTCGGCCTCCCAAAGTGCTGGGATTACAGGCTTGAGCCACCGCGCCCGGCCTATAATGAATGTTTTGAAAAAATAAATAATTAAGTTACAGCCATCAAAATCTAGTAATTCAAAAGAATAATGGACTCAGAGCTTTCACAATAAGGCATTATATTAATTAGTATCAATAAATTTCTACATTTATTACAATAAGTTTAACATGAAGACCTTGAGTACACTGTTTTCAAATACGACTTTTCTCAATTGCCATATGATATAAACCAAACAGCTCAAGAAAATCATAATTTTAGAATCATAATAAATCTATATACTATACTGAAAAAGAATATCAACACTTCTGAAGTGGTATCTTCCCTTTTTGTTTTTTTCTTTTTTTTTTTGGAGACAGTCTCACTCTGTCACCCAGGCTAGACTGCAGTCATGCATTCTCAGCTCACTGCAACCTCTACCTCCTGGGTTCAAGCGATTCTCCTGCCTCAACCTCCCTAGTAGCTGGGACTACAGGCCCGTGGCACCACATCCAACTAATTTGTGTATTTTTAGTAGAGAAGGGGTTTATCATGTTGGCCAGGCTAGTCTTGAACTCCTGGCCTCAAGTGATATGCCCACCTTGGCCTCTCAAAGTGTTGGGATTAAGGCATGAACCACTGTGTCCAGCACCAAGACAAGTACATAACTAGTCTTAACACAATGGAGAAAATGTTTAGAAATCCCTAACATAGGAAGAGGTAAGGGATTATTAGATGTTCATGGATGGAAGTATATCAGAGAAGACAGCCTAGAGAAGACACAATCTTAGCTGGGCCTCGGCCTTTCAAAATGCTGGGATCATAGATGTGAGCCACCACACCCCGCCTCAAGTGTTATCTTCTCTGATTCACAGTTCTCGTGGGTTTTTTGTTTGTTTGTTTTGTATTTTTTGTAGAGATGAGATTTTGCCATGTTGGCCAGGCTGGTCTCAAATTCCTGGTCTTAAATGATCTACTTGCCTCAGTTTCCCAAAGCGCTGGGATTATAGGCATGAGCCACCGAACCCTGGCCTGATTCACAGCTCTTAAGAAGTTTACGCTGTACTAAAAATATATTTTTGTCCATAACATTAATCTCTAAAAAGTTTTGTAATATATTTTTAAGTATCCATCCTTAAGATCACCAAAGGATTTTTTTCTTTTTCAGACAGAGTTTCACACTGTCATCTGTGCTGAGTGCAGTGGCACGATCTTGGCTCACTGCAACCTCCACCTCCCAGGTTCAAGCGATTCTTCTGCCTCAGTTTCCCAAGTAGCTGGCATATCAGGTGCCCACCACAAGGCCTGGCTAATTTTTCTGGATTTTTAGTAGAGACGGCGTTTCACTATGTTGGCCAGGCTGGTCTCGAATGCCTGATCTCGTGATCAACTCGCCTCAGCCTCCCTAAGTGCTGGGATTACATGCATGAGCCACCGCACCCGGACCACCAAAGGATTTTTAAAAAACTAAACATGGATAACTAAAAATAAAATGCAGATAAAGTTGAAAAGCCTCCAGCTTTATTAATAGAGCTTGATTCTTAATTATAGTGCCTGGATGTTGTCACTTTAAAACAGTATCAGAAGATGCTCTGTGCATTTGTAAGAGGGAGCAACATGTTTAGACTTGTTTTTATAATCTTGGCTTCCTTAAATGTGTACAGCAGCTGAATCAGCCCTTTATATCACTAAACTAATGCAGAGCTGTGATTATATTATTGATTCAAAAGCTAAAAAAGCCTTAAGAAACTAAGAACTTGGAGTATCATCCACCTTTAAAGAAAAAGTTCATAAATAGCCTTATCTATAAATTTTAAAACTCATATTTCAGCTGATTTTCTGTATCAAGTTTCCATTTAATTAATTACATTAAACATAAATATAACTCTTTTTATAAATAGAGGCACAACGATCACTTCAGCAGCACATATACTAAAATTGGAACAATACAGAGATTAGCATGCCTCCTGCGCACGGATGATACACAAATTCGCTGAAGCATTCTATTTTTACAAAAAAATTTTTTTAAATAGAGGCACAAAAATACAATACACTGGATGACTCCACAGCATGTCAATGTTGCCTATACCTGTGGGTATCTAACAAGAAAGAAGAAAGCTGGCAATTCAGACTAGATAATATTTCATATTTTAATTCCGTGACACCCTTGGTTGAGTATTGGCCTTTCTCAAGAATGATCTGTGAGGACTCTGCTCTTATTTCTTCTACCTACAGTGGTTAAGTATAGATTTTTGTGAAATTCTTTACTGAAACATTGTAAAACATCTCTGTGAAGAAACTTGATGAGACTATAATGGTATTTTGGAATTTCTGCATGTAAAAATAAGATAAAGGATCCAATTAAGGATGGGCATCAAAACCATATAACGCATCTGGAACCTTTCAGTTTTTCTTTTTTTTTTTTTTAATTATACTTTAAGTTCTGGGATACATGTGCAGAACGTGCAGCTTTGTTACATAGGTATACATGTACCATGGTGGTTTGCTGCACCCATTAACCCATCATCTACATTAGGTATTTATTCTAATGGTTCCCCTCCCCTTGTCCCAACCCCCCAACAGGCCACGATGCATGATGTTCCCCTCTCTGTGTCCATGTGTTTTCATTATTCAACTGCCACTTATAAGTGGGAACATGTGATGTTTGGTTTTCTGTTCCTGTGTTAATTTGCTGAAAATGATGGTTTTCAGCTTCATCATGCCCCTGCAAAGGGCATGTACTCATTCTTTTTTTTTTTTTTTTTTTTTGAGATGAAGTTTCACTCTTGTTACCCAGGCTGGAGTGCAATGGCACAATCTCGGCTCACCGCAATCTCCGCTTTCTGGGTTCAGGCAATTCTCCTGCCTCAGCCTCCTGAGTAGCTGGGATTACAGGCATGCACCACTACGCCCAGCTAATTTTTTGTATTTTTAGTAGAGACGGGGTTTCACCATGTTGACCAGGATGGTCTCGATCTCTTGACCTCGTGATCCACCCGCCTCTGCCTCCCAAAGTGTTGGGATTACAGGCGTGAGCTACCGCACCCGGCCACTCATTCTTTTTTATGACTCCATGGTATGCCATGGTGTATATGTGCTACATTTTCTCTCTCTCTCTCTCTCTTTTTTTCTTTCTTTCTTTCTTTCTTTTCACTAGAGACGGGGTTTTACCATATTGGCCAGGTTGGTTTCGAACTCCTGACCTCAAGTGATCCGCCTGCCTCAGCCTCCCAAAGTGCTGGGATTACAGGTGTGAGCCACTGTGCTGGGCCAATGTGCTACATTTTCTTTATCCATCATATCACTGATGGGCATTTGGGTTGGTTCCAAATCTTTGTTATTGTAAATAGAGCTTCAATAAACATACGTGTGCATGTGTCTTTATAACAGAATCATTTATAATCCTTTGGGTATATACCCAGTAATGAGATTGCTGGATCAGATGCTTTCAGTTTTTCTTAGCAGGGTATCAGACACTTAGCAATTCCTAAAAGACAGATAGGTCTTCCTATGGAGATTCTCACCTATACCAAGAGTTAAGACCCAAACCATTTTCAAAATGCTAAAGATATGATGGAAAGGCTTTTTTCCTCAACTCAGTATGTTTTTATTATTGTAAGTTAAATGCTGTTTTGCCAAAATGATAAAATATTCCTAATAATAATTATTTTTTAATATGAAATGCTTCACAAATTTTCAGGTCATCCTCATGCAGGAGAATGTTAATCTTTTCTGTATTGTTCCAATTTTAGTTTATGTGCTGCTGAAGTACTACTAATAATTATTATTTAAGCCAATTTAAATACAATGTTAAGTTGTATTTTAAAGGCTTTATTTCAATTTCTTATTTAGCCCTCACAATATCTATGATTAATATAATCATTTTACAGAGCTGGACAAAAAACTTATTCAAATAGGTAGTAGAACTGAGATCAACAGGTCAAGGAAATGCCAGAATCTGAAAAGTTCTAAGACTGTTTGAAATTATCCTGTAAACATTTACTTTTTAAACGCTCCTTGTTAAAAGACTCAGTGAAAAGTAGTATTTTAAGTGTTATGGTAACTGCGAGTAGGAATTCAAGAGTGATTTACAGAGAATAACAACAGTAATAAAAAGGTTTACTTTTCCTTTCAAAGAAGTACAACTTCGTCTCACAGGGAAAGACTGAACAAAGGAAGAAGAAAGAGCAGGTGGGCAAAATGTTACAGTGATTTTTTAATTATGAGTCAACATGGCTTCTATGCCAGCATTAAACACAAGGCTAATCAGCTAGGAATCCAGGATAAAGAACCATAGAGTCACTGGACACTGTCTTTATTGCCGAAAAAAATGTTTACTTAAGGAAATTACTAGATCAGTAATCATTGATTAGAATTCTCAGAGCAACGGTGGCCAATTACTAGCGAGACACGGGCACCGTGAAAGAGAAAACTGTCGACCTGTAATTGCCATTTGTCGTATAAATTCTAAGCTATTTGGTTTAAAATGCACTCATGCGCACCCGCGGCACTAGAAAACCTGGGAGTTAAAGTCAGAGCAAATACACCCTTTCAATACAGCGCACAAGACGGGAACAAAAGAGGTGGTGGAAGGAGGACGGCCACCTTTGGTTTCTCACAGAAAAAGCTCATTAATCAAAACAGTGAATTAACGGTTTAAGTTCCTGTGTGTGAAAGGCAAATGGTACAGTTAATACCCGGGAGCAGGGAGGTGCTTTTTTAAAATTCGCTTTCGTCTCTTCTTCAACCCAGATCTTTGTGCCTTCGTGCTACCGATAAAGTTGGCGGTTACACGACCAAACGCCGCCAGGTATTCGGCCAGGTCTTCCACCTCTCAAGCCCCAGACACACCTGGCCGCCTTCGAGGGCCGGGCCGGGGCGGGAAGGGACGAGGCCCTAGGCCCCGGGGTCGGGAGGGAGCCAGCCCCGCGGGAGGGAAGCGGAAGGTGAGGAGTGGGGAGAGGAGGACGCTGCCCCCTAGGGGAGCCGAGTCACAGGCTGGGGGCCGGGCCGGGAGGGGCGGAGGAGGCGGCCGGTAGCGAGGCCGCGCCGTCGGGCGGGGCGGTCCCTCCAGCTGGCTCGGACCCCGGCGGGGCGGGCCGTGGACCGAGCGGCCGAGCCCAGGCGCCAGCCCGCGGCCAAGGAGGAAGGTGGCGGCGGCGGCGGCGCGGACGGGACGGGGCGGCGGCTCTTCGCCCTGACCCTCTGCTCCCCCGCCCAGGCCCGGGCGCGAGTCGGAGGCGGCGGCGAAGGACGGAGCGAGCATGGCTGAGACCCCGCCGCCGCCCACCGCTGGTGCCGAAAGTTGCAGCGAGGAGCCGGCGAGGGGCGGGGAGTGGCGGCCGGAGGAGCCGCGCCGCGCTCCCGCCGGGGGCACGGACCGAGAGAGCGAGGCGGGGCCGCCGCCCGCCTCCCCCGCCGGGCAGTTGGAGCCGGACTCGCCGGTGGCCGCCCCCTTCTTCCTGCTCTACCCCGGCGATGGAGGCGCCGGCTTCGGAGCGCGCCCGCCGCCGCAGCAGCAGCGCTCCTGGAGGACCCCGCCGTCGCCCGGCTCCCCGCTGCCCTTCCTGCTGCTGAGCTACCCGAGCGGCGGCGGCGGCGGCGGCGGCAAGCACCGTGAGTGGCGGAGGGGCAAGGGGACGCTGGCGGGGAAGGGGGCATTCGGCCGGGGAGGGCCGGCCCGGCCCCCGCAGAGCTCCGCCTCCCGCGGGGTGACCCAAGCCGGGAGGCCGGGAGGCCGGGGCTCTGGCGGCGGCCCTCGGGAAGCCGCTGTCCCGGAGCGCCCGGGGGAGGAGACAGCGGGCGAGCGCGGTCCGAGTGCCGGATTCTTTACCTCAGCGCTTCCCCAGGCCGCGGCTCCTGCCAGGCCTGGTCTCTCCCTTCTCGGGATGGGTGCTCATCTTCGCCAGCCTCCCACGTGCTTGGGCGGGGGCGACAAGCGGCCCGCCCGCCGGTCCCCCTCCACCCGGGGCGCCCTGGCCTCGGGTCCCGCGCTGAGAACCTTCCCCGAAGGAGTCGAGGAGGGGGCGGCGCCCGGAGACCCGGTGGCCCCTCTGACCCGCCTGCTTCGGGCTCCCGGCGCCGCGGCAGCGGAGTAGGTGTGGCTGCAGCGCGCCGCCGCCAGTGCGGCCTTAGTAATACTAGTAACTCATTTTTTACGAGCGTTCCTTCCATGCCGGTAAATATGACAGCTCCAGATCCGTCCCCCGGAGTGGAAAGAGAAATCCCAGCGGCGCGCGAGAAGACAGGAAGGGAACGAATGTGGGGCTTTGGAAGGGTACCTCCCAGGGTTATATCGGTTGTTGCGAAGAGGCCTCCACTTTTAAAGCCACTGTCACACGTGAGCGCTCTGAATGCAGCCGACCCACACTCCGTGCTGTCTTATTTATTACTCAACTGTTTACTGCTACTGGCAATGAGTAGGGCCCTAGAATAGTCAATGAATATAAAGACTCTTAGAGGAGGGTTAAATCTGGTTTTAAAACAAAAACTCTTACAGTATGAAAATGTGCCTAACGATACAAGGCACACTATAAACGCCAAATACTTTGCTGTATGAATTCTGAAAAGCGAGAGAGAAACTTGTCTGAAGTGATGAGGGAAGGCTCCTTCTCTCCCACCCTACCCCATGAATATATGTATTTGTATATATCTATATATAATTTTTTTTTTTTTAGTAGAGACGGGGTTTCTCCGTTTTTGTCAGGCTGATCTAGAACTCCCGACCTCAGGTGATCCGCCCCCCTCAGCCTCCCAAAGTGCTGGGATTACAAGCGTGAGCCACTGCACCCAGGTCCCTACCCCCTATATTTTTTAAAGCACCAGTACAAATCTCTACACTGCCAAGAAACCCTGACTTCACCTTTTCTGTCCCCCCATCCGTCTTCTAGGAAAATATTAACATTTATTAATTATTTCCTGTGTGCATGTGCTTTGATGATCATGGTTAATAAGTTTGTGTAAACCAAATAGAATGCCACTTTTTCAGATGGAGAAACTCGATTTGTCCCAAG